GTAGACTATTCAATGTGTAAATAAACAATTGTTTTTCATTTTCAGATCATGTTTTCTTCACCCATCGTTATGGCTACCAATAAAAGAAAAGTAGATGCTGAGTGTTTAACTAGCTTTCTGGTTGTTTGTTTCCACAAAGAAGTACTTTTCTCCCCATTCTTCATTGAAAAGGTGCATGATATGCAACGAAAGTGTTGCCGTTTTGAAAGAGTACAATCTTCGGCATCACTATGAAACAAAATATCTGTCAACATATTCGAAGTTTTCTGGAAAGTTGCGTTCTGAGAAATTTGAGTTCATGAAACGTACTTTGGAATCCCAAAGGAATCTCTTCACGAGAATGTTTGCTGAAAATGAATCTGTCACTCGTACAAGTTACAAAATATTGCATAAGATGGCAGAGCGAGGAAAACCGTTTACTGACGGTAACTTCATCAAAGAGTGTATGATGGAAGCAGCAAATGACTTGTGTCCTGAGAAAGCCGATTTGTCTGAAAGTATCAGCCTTTCAGCAAGTTCAGTTGTGCGGAGAACAGAAGAACTTGGCGAGAACATGGTGTTACAAATACGCGAGAAAGCTAGGAACTTCTTGTAGTATTCTCTGGTGTTGGATGAGTCTACTGATCTCTCGAGTACGTCACAACTTCTCGTGTTCATTCGTGATGTTAATTTGGACTCTCAGATCACAAAAAAGTTGGCATCCGTTTGCAGCATGCACGGAACAACAACTGGAGAAGACATTGTCATAGAAGTGCAGAAAACTTTGCAAGGCTATAACCTTCAGTGGAATCAGCTTCGATGTGTTACAGTTGATGGAGGAAAAAACATGGCTGGAGTGAGGAAAGGTCTTGTGCGGCAGACACGAACTAAGTTGGAAGATCTTTAACTCCCGGGCACTCTGTTTATACACTGCAATTTACAGCAGCAAGCACTCTGTGGGAAAGACTTAGATATTTCTTACATACTGAAACCAGTCGTTTCTGCAGTGAACTTCATTCGGGGTCATGCACTTAATCACTGCCAGTTACAGGCGTTTCTTGAAGAAATTGATTCTGAATTCTGTGACTTGCCTTATCACACAGCAGTGAGGTGGCTCAGCTGCGGTAAAGTCCTGTTTCGTTTTGAGAAGGTCCGAAGAGAAATAGATATTTTTCTCACCGAAAAGGATAGAGCTGATCCACTTCTGTCAGATCCTACCTAGCTGCGATTCGCATTAATGAGTAAGTGTTATAAGTATGAATTTTTGTTACTAGGTTTTTAATTATGTCTAGGCTTGTAATTTAAAAAAAATAAACAAAAAGTGGCACGCGAGCCTGAAACGTTTGAGAACCACTGATTTAAAGAATAAAACAATCTAGAACACGTTGCTACACGATACCAGGAGGCCAATTGTGTAATCTGCGCTTAATACCAATAACAGACACCAGGAGTCTTCAGTTGTAAAATTCTTTAACCGCACAAAAATGTCAATTTTGAAAAGCATAACTAATGAATAAACAAAAATCTGTGAAATTAATAGAATGAGAGAAAAATGTCCAAGCACATATAAAAGTCAACATATTGCGGGTGTTATACAAATTCACTGTTAACTGTAGACAGAATTTTACTTACATGTCCGAGATAATAATGACTGAGTAGCCACTATGTCCTTTAAACATTAATAACACTCGTTAGGCTTAGTTACTAGTAAAGTATTGTTGCGTCAGCGAGGTCACGTGACTAGTATCATGCCACCTCCTTCTAGAAATATCCTGTTCCTTCGTGAATTGTCGGGAGACTACAAGATATAGTGTAGTCTTGTATATATAAGACCGGCCACGAAGCGACGGGGGAATGAGTAATTGAACTGCAGTCAGAGAGTGTGTAATTGAACTGAGTATTGTTGAAGTCGAGCACGTGAGACGTTCGTTGAGAATTATAGCGCGACTGTTGAAATTAAGTGTATCGCAAAGTTATATTCAGAAAGAATAAACCAGTTTTATTTAAGAAAGGACTTGTGTCGCTAAAGTTTCGTCGGAACGAATTTACGGAAAATTAACTAACGAACGAACACGTAACAGTATGTTAGGCTTTAACGTAATATCTTTCTGATAGTTTCGTTTGAAATTTACTTACTGATAATAAGTATTATTTTATCACAAGTTACAGCTGTTATAATACTTTTGTATATTTGAGAATGATCGCAGTGACCGAAACTTCGTATCTGTTTTAAAAATATTCTTCCTTCCTTTATAAGCTAACTTATAATAATAAAATAGTGTTACGACAGCGGAATTCACGTGACGCTGGTAACACGTAATGAGTATCTAGAACGTTCGTCAAGGCTCGAGTGTTTGCCAGACACGCCCTCTATTTTATAAGACCGGCGAGAAGTGACGGCATAGATAATTGAATAGCAGACAGGGAGATAGAGACAGATAATCGGGTCAATCCGTAAATAAAGTGCGTGAATCGTTGTGAATTATAGCGTGTGTTGAAGTTAAAGTGACTGTGGAAATTAAGTGTATTGCAAAGTTGTATTGAGAAAGAATAAACTAGTTTTATTTAAGAAAGGGCTTGTATCGCTGAAGTTTCTCGGAAAGAGTTTCTACAAAAAAATTAACAAACGAACACAGACGTAACAATAGCAATGTTTTTTGTTTGTGTTTTTGAACAAAGCAACACGACAGGCTACCAACACTCTGTCTACCGTGGGGGGGAAATCGAACTCCAGAGTTTCATGTTTAATGACAGTGTTTTCTTCTATGGGTGGAGTTGGTTTACAAGAGAAGAGATGTTGGTTTGTACTTTTTACCGAATGTCACCACCAATCAGAAGACAGTTTAAATACGAGTTACATCAACAGCGATGTGGACGAGTTTACTAAAAATAACACGTAAAGTGTTGATCGTAACTGTTAAGATATTTCAAATCGCAGTCAAATGAAAAAAAAAAATCTTTATTAAATTCGCTGAGAGAATGTTCCTACATGGAACTCAACCAGGGTTTAAATGTAAGTTAAAACAAAACTACGAAATTATTAACTTGTTACAGACAAACGTTACAATACGTACATCTTACTAAACCTCATTAGGAAGCGTATTTACTAAACTGTAGTAGTGGTAAAAAAAGTACTCATTTTCAGGGGTGTAACCAGCATTATAGAGTGGGGGGGGGTCTTTTCTACCCATAAAAATGTTGAACTTTTCCTGTACACAAAGAAGTTGAATGGTATGCACGAAGTCCAATGATCATTAAAAGTAAAATCAGAATATAGCGGAGACTACATTTTGTAGAATATTGGGGATGTATTTCGACCCCACCGTCGGCCACGTCCCTGCTAATTGGCTATCTTAGTAGAACTTGTGAAAAATTTTTAAAAACATACATCAACTGCGTAGATATTTTTTGTAATGAGATATTTCTATTTCAATACCTTGTTTTGTTTTTTTTAGTCTCGTACGTACGATTTTAATGTTTGAAACAATTAGTAAAGAAATATGTTTTACTAGTATAGTAACCAAAGGAACGGTTGAAACTTGAGTTGTTGAGTTTAGGCTAAAGAGAAGTATAGTTCCAAACAAAAAATACGCTTTTTCCCTTCTACCCCTTCAGCCTTGGCGTAGTAGTCACCACTTGTCAACCATGACGGTAGAGGGAGCTGAGGCAGGTGAAACAAGCTTGGAGGAAGGCTGTAGGCATCCTAGATAAGATTTGAAAGAGATACATCTTCAGACACTTCGTGAAAAACACTAACAGTGAAGTTTTAAATTCCCTGTGTTTTGAAGTTATGCTTTTCATCTATTTATTGTCTCTTCAACTACTATTGAAACATTTTATTGGGTCTCAAACAATACCTAATCTATCTGTCTACATTTGGTGTAATTTATTTTTGCTTATGAAACGCAAAATCAACCAGTTTATCTTCTAATAATTAAAATAACAATATCACTGGTAATAATTAATCAAAAAAACAAAACAGGCGATGTTTTGGAGTGAATAAATTTTTTTTTAGAAATAAAAGTGAGCTATCTAGGTGGATCAGAGCTAAATATTAACCCAGTAATTACAGACGAAAATATCGCTAATAGCAACTGATGAATCAGTGCTTTATATTAAATGTAAGTAAGAACTTTTGTGACTTATGTTTTAATACTTTTATTTAAAGATAATTTTGTTCTAGATTTTTATAGTAATGAGCAGATGTCTCGAATTTTCGTGAGACGTAGTTATGACGTGTAACAGGTAGAAATTTCACGAGTGCCTTAATTAGTGTTGAATAATATAAAGTTAGGCTAAAAAGTGAGAGAAATATAAGCGAGCGTTAATCAGCCAGTTACTAAGTTAGCTTGTTAGTTCAGTATTGTACGTTTTAATTTTTGAGTTTGTACCGAAAATAACAAAGGAGATTTAACAAGTACTTGTGAGTTAGGCCTATCGTTTGATTATCACTAGTTCATTAAACCATGTAAGCTGTACAACTTTCATCAGAACTTAGAAGAAATAAAACAAATTCTTTTTCGTTAAGTAGGCTGGCCTTTGCATGATTTTTACTTAATACTTAAAAAGAACCCTACAAACGATAGAAACCGTTACAAGACAATAGTATATTAGATTAACTATATTCATTATGGGAATAATTAGTAGTTTTGATCTATTTAGTTAACTTGCTTTGGTCAGAAGATAATATATCTAACCCTAATACATCATTCTTACCAGATGTATGCAAAGACCTAAACCATAAACTTATAATGGTTACAATGTTATCGATATTTTCGGTCATGATAAATCAAACGGATATTTAGTTTAGTTTGAATTTCTCACAAAGCTACATGATAGTTATCTGTGCTAGCAGTCCCTAATTTATCAGTGATAAGCTAGAGAGAAGCCAGCTAGTCAACACTACTCACTGTCAACTCTTGGGCTACCATTTTTTACCAACGAATAGTGGGATTGACTGTCACTTATAACGCCCCCACAGCTGAAAGGGGCGAGCATGTTTGATGACAGGGATTCGAATCCGCAATCCGCAGATTGGGAGTCGAATGTCCTAACAACCAGGCCTAAAAACGGATACTTTAACAGTGTCAGATTTTATGTATGGACAGCACCCAGTCCACATATTTTAAAATAATACATTAAAACAAGTCAAACGTATATACAAATGTTCGTTACTCCGTTGGTTACCACAGTTGTATGCATTCGTACCCCGTGGGTTACCACAGTTGTATCCAGAGCTTTAAATAATCGTCTCTTTTTCGTCAAAGTCCACACGGGCTGATTCAGTCACTTTAGAACACAATTGACAGGATGAGTTATTTTTCCCTACTCTGTTATTACAATAAAGTCTGTGATAATCTCACTTTAAAAATCGCCACTATACACTCTTTATGGTTAACTCACTATCACGCAGTCTAGATCTAACTATCTATATCGAACTACATTTTAGATGCGTATTTATACCTGACATAGATCTAGAACGTTCCATACAGTACTAGATATTATGATGTAATAGCCCCCAGTGGCACAGCGGTATGTCTGCAGGATTACAACGCTAGAAACCGGGTTTCGATACCCGTGGTGGGCAGAGCATAGATAGCCCATTGTGTAGCTTTGTGCTTTACTTCAAACAAGCAAACAAACAATGATGTAATAATACTCAATTAAAATAACGAGGAAAACTCAGAGGGTTCTAGTAAGATGACGCAATAATATAAGAATCACCAGTTCATAACTATTGAACTAAACGACGTATGATTCGTAAACATTTACGTAAACAGTCGCGCTAGATAAACTATCTAAATCATAACACTCGCATACAACTTAAACGTGTGTGTATTTAACACACAGTGAAGAGGTCAGAATATACCAGCCCAAGAAAAAATGTATTGAGAGATGAAATTTGTTTTTCTTCAGAATTGAGAGAAATTAAAATATGCCAGCAACCAGAAGTAAAGAGAGAAACAATAACTGAAACCGTTCATCAATAGTAAAGAGAGAAACAATAACTGAAACCGTTCATCAATAGTAAAGAGAGAGAAACAATAACTGAAACCGTTCATCATTAGTAAAGAGAGAAACAATAACTGAAACCGTTCATCATTAGTAAAGAGAGAAACAA